CAAACTAAGCTGAGAGAAACCAACTGGAAATGCAATCACGGTGCCATAACAGGAACAGATAAAATCTCAGCACGGAAGCTGGAACCTGCAGTACTGGAAGCCATGATTTGAATTTCCTGCCACTGCTGCTGTGTCTGAATTGGCACAGCAGGGAGAGAGAGGCGCAAAAGCTCTGAGAGTGGGAATCAGCAAACGGAGTTGAGAGTGGGACTGGTGTAGAGCCCTTGATCGACCTGCAGTGAGTGAGAGGAACGGGGAGCCTTCCATAGACTAGGAGGCTCCAACAGAGGACATTCTGGGACCAGGCAGACTAGCTGGAACAGGACGCTGCAGTGACTTTAGTCACATATTCCCCTCTCAAGCGGGATTGGTGGGGAGCACTTGGCCTGGGTGATGCCGTGGACTAAGATCCAGTAGGCTAGCCCAAACCAGGTCCCAGTGCCTGGTGGTGCACCTTAGGAGTGAAGCCTTCAGTAGGTTGACCTGGAGGGGCGGGCCCAGCAGAGGCTTCCCTAGTACACTGCAGTGGGTGGGAACACTAGCCAGCGTGACTCAAACAAACTGTAACCGACAAAGAAAAAAAAACAAAAAAAAAAAAACAAAAAAAAACACTGGGCCTCCTATATACGCTTGTATGGAAGGAACAAAAAGTATGGGAAGAGGGAGCAACAAGAAAGGGTCCTCGGTCCCCAATCCTGAGAACACTGATTCAGGAAAGGTAAATGCAAAGGAGAATGAGGACAGAAAACATGCAATATCAGACACGGTAAGACATAAAGCGGTATCTCCGGAGCCTCACAGACGAGTTCAAAAGTGAAGTATTTAAAGAAATAAAGCAAGATATAAGTAGAATAGTTACAGAAGTGCTAAGCACTGCCCAAGAAAAAACAGATGGTGGAATGGCAGAACAGAAAAAAAGGGGAGAATTGTTTGATGGAGAAAAATAGAGAAAACAGAGAATACGTGAAGCAGGTTCAAAGAGATTACCAGGAAACTAAAAACTCTATTGAAAGCTAGCATAACAGCTTGAAAGAAACTAAGGATAGATTATCTGAACTGGAGGACAGATTTGTAATGGGGGAGCATGAAATGAAAAGCTTCTTAAAAATAACAAGAAAACAAACAGAAATAATACAAAGGCTAGAAGATAAGAGGATCTATAACTTAAGAATTAAGAACATAAAAGAAGAAGTAGGGACACAAACAAATGAACTACAAAAGCTATTCACAGAAATAATCCAGGAGAATTTCCCTAATTTAGCAAAAGGTAAAGATACTCAGATGTATGACGCATACAGGACCCCAGTCACCTACAACCCAAACAGAGCCACATCCAGGCATATAATAATCAAAATTCCAGAAATCCAATATAAGAACAGAATATTAAAAGCTGTCAGAGACAAGAAACAGATCACTTATGAAGGAACACCCATCAGAATTACAGCAGACTTCTCGGCACAGACCATCAAATCATGAAGAGCATGGGGGGAAATAATTCAAGCTTTGAAAGATAATAACCTCCAGACAAGATTCATATATCCTGCACAACTGTTCCTAGAAATTGATGGAAAAACAAGGTGCTTCCAGGACAAAGAGGAACTAGGGGAATTTGCAACCACCAATTCAACTCTACAGACAATACTGCAGGATATTCTAAAAAGAAAAATACCAAGATTCCAGAAACAGTGGCAGAGAGGCCACAATGAATGGAGCAGAAAGTGAAATGAAGACAAACTGACAACTAACGACAGAAAAAGAGCTCAACAAAAATGAGGCAGAGAAGGTTGGATGATAGGAATAGCTATTTTGGAGAAAACAAGACATCATAATAGCTAGTGCTGATTTAGTATCATCTTGCTTTGAAGTCCCATTAAGCTTTTATTCTTCTGTCTCCATCGGTCTTAACAGGTTGTATCTTATTGGATTTTATTCTATGTGATAATATAAACAAAAACTTTATAGACAAAGAGATTATACAGAAACCATTGTTCATTTTCTGATAGTTGGTTCTAAATACCCTGTAATACTGTCTTTCTCTTGAATGGTTTTACATTGTCTTGATATGTTTGGTGCTACAGTATACGAAGTTATAATCAAAGATTTCAAGGAAAGAGATACTATGGTAACTACTTTTATGTCGCAATATGTTGTGGTGAAACACTGTTTTGCTTAATGGTTATGTTTTGACCTGTGCTGTTTTGTTGTTATGCCCTCTTTTATCTCAATTTCCTTTTTTAAATTATTTACTTTTTTATCTTTTTAATTAAGAGAAAAATAAATAAAAAATAGCAGGATATATTATAGTAACCCACTTTGATTTCCTATTAACTTGATTTGAAACCCTGTATTGCTCTCACCATCTTGTTTTGACTGATTTTCCCCTATTCTTCTTTGCTTGATAGTACCAAGTTCGAAAGTATAGGCAGTAACTGTGAAGACAGTAAGATTCATTATGATGCCCATTCTGGTTGACTATTACCTCTTTTGAAGTCCTGTAATGTCTCCAATGTTTTGGTTTTATTCTTTACTGTTTTGTCCAATTTTATTATAACTGATGATATAGGCAATTCTTTTTAAGATAGCATGAGGCATTATGGTAACCATTGTTGATCACCTTGTATTTTGTTTTTACATTATGTATTATGCCCATCCTTTTGATTTGACTGACTCTGTTCTGTTATATCACATTTGGTTTTACTCTCTTCAAAAAAAAATAATAAGAACTGTGGGAGTAATAAAACCCAAAATGTGTAATTGTCATTGTACAAAAGAGAGGAAAAGAAAGTGCTCTAAAGGATATAACTGCATATATATTTAAGGGTATAAGATAAATAACCATATTACTGAGTTTTCTTGGATCATTGAACAGAACTGTTTGCAGTCTCACTATTTGAAAGTCCACTTTATATGCTTTAATTTTGTAACTTGAACAACTATTTCTAAGATGACAATATGTAATCTATTAACTAGTGGTTTCCTACTGTTTATTTTTTCTGAAATTCTGTATAACTTGTACCCTTTTTCTGTTTTTTTTTTTCATTTTCTCCTTAAATAAAAAAAAAAAAGGAAGCGATGATTAATAGTAATAGGATAACAGCAAAGAGGGAGAGCATCTGAGCTGGGGCAGCACAGGTGTGGGGGGAGGTTCGGGGAACCTAATTGGGAGGTGGCTGCACACTGACTGCCCCAGTCACCCTTGCCAGCTCCAGTCCCATGAGGAATAATCCAGTGCCACCCACAGGGTTGTGTTCCTCCACCTGACAACTTGAAATTTTTGAAAAGTTTTCTAAAAAATCAAGATCAAAAGAACTCTTTTAAAAGAACCAAGATTTCTCTCTCCTCAAAAATTTCAGGGAAAAATAGAAAACAAAGTAAGATTTTAAGAGCATCTTACTTATCATAAGGACAGTAATTCTAGCTAAAGATTAGCTGATCTACTTCTCCTAATGAACAGTAAGCTTGAGGACCAAACTCAAATTCCCCTTTTACCAAGACAGAGAATGTGTTTGACATTTCCTCATTTGAAGAGTGAAGGAGAAAATGCCTGTTCCAAAGGAAAGAGGAGAAAGCACTTGGGAGGTGGTGGGTACACACGAATCCCAATGCATGGAAAACAACTGCACTGTCATACTGAACTAGTTTGATGCGGGGGCTGTCACCTGGGAGGTCATTGTTATCCTCAGTCTCCCCCTAAACTTATCACAGCCCTTGCTGGGAGGATCAAGCCTTTCCTGGCTCCCTTGACCTCTGGGATGCATCTTTCTCCTTCCTCTGCTTGTCTTCTGACCAGGGCAGGTGAGTATCCCACATCTTTTCAGCCTCTCCCAGGTCTCTGACTCTAACCATCTAAGCCTTTCCCTTGCCCTCTATCTATTTCTTTCTACCTTTACTAGTTTATTTACCTGAACATTTTCTAGCTATCTACTAAAACTTCTAATCCACAGATGGTGAACCCATGGCAGGTGTTATTGTTTTTCTTTTAAAACAAAAGATATTACTGTATGAGTTTTTTTTCTAAACTAAAAACATCAGCAATTAGGTCTCATTGCAGTGTTGGTACTTTGTGATAAATAAGTAGATTTTGGGTTTACAGTTTGGGTACTCAAGTCTCTAAAACGTTTAACATTTGGTTAAGATCAGCTTCTTTACACACACACATTCTAAGACACACCTGAGTCCTTCAGCATTTCCACACTATATTCCACACTAACTAGTGATGAAAGCCAAAGCACAGTGACAGTGTCCCAGCATGAAACACAAACATTCTCTCTGTGTATTTACAACGGGCTCAGGGACCATGTCAATAGATATCTAGAATTTGAGAGTACAACACAGGTGGTGGAAACAAGATATTTTAAAAACAAGAAAAGCGAGAGGGTAATAATCAATGACAATTAACTCAGTAGAAAACTTGCCATCTTATCCTTTAGTAATATTTTAAGCTCAGTGGCTTCTCCATATGATGTTTACCCACTGCTAAGAAAATGACACAGCTGCTCAGCATAACTTGTTTACATCATTTGTATCACACATTCTTATCTTCATTTTTGGTCATTTGGATCATTTCTATTTCTTTGGGTGTCATTTTTCACATTTTTAAAGATATACATATTTTAAAGATGTACATTTATTTTATAGTAGAAAATACAGACTACTGGAATTCAAGGTACATATACAAGTGCTCTGATAGCAGATTTTACCAAACATTCAAGTTCAGGCACCTTCCACAAACACATAGGGTCTGTTCTGGGTCTCTCTCTCTCTCTCTCTCTTTTTTTTTTTGGTACCAGTGATCGAACTCAGGATCTTGTGTTTGCCAAACCAGCACTTACGCCACTGAGCTAAACCCCCGAGCCTCTGGGTCTCTCTTCACAGCTGTTATTAACTTGTACACCTTGCTGCTCACTGCTCTAAGGAAAATAGCGCCTTGCTGTTTATAGGAGGACAATCTGCCACATGTTTTTACTTGTTACTCCACAGTCAGCATTACACTCACTCACCTGTGACTTGCTTGTCTGGAAGAGAAGGGATTGGAATGGCTGACCCAAACTTAACTAGGAGGCGCTCATACAACCAGTCAAAATGCTTATATCTGTGGTTTACAGATCGATTAGTGTTCTAGAAATAAAAGGAGGAGATGAAAAGTTACTGGTGCCAAATACAGAAAGTGAAGGAAAAAAAATGCAAGTTCTTACTAGCAATGCCTGAATGCTACCATAGGTTTTGCTAACATGGTACTTACAGTAGGTGTTAATTGGTACTCAATGTAGCTCTTCAGGCCATACATTTTGGAGCCTTTCCTGGGATCTGCTACCACACAGTCAAATGTTGAGGCAGGATAAACCCACATTGGGCCATAATCTCCAACCTACACAATGTTCCAAGAAATGTTAATTTTGTAACAGGAAAATACAATTAGCATAAATCATAAGTGATTCTTATCAGAACTGAAAGTCCTTTGGAGGGTCATTCTTGCTCCTCTTTGAGAAGGTAATAACCAATCTCTGTTCCCATCAGAGGAACATATTTATTGAGATGCTCTCTTTTGCTCTCATGTGGGCAGGCCAGCCCATGATGAGTATCAAGAGCTGATCAGGCTTCCAATCTTCTAAGATGAATGTACAGGGAAGGCATAAATAAAACAGACAAGTAATATGAAGCCTGGGGGTTCTGGGAAGGTCAAAACTCTCTTGGAGCTAAGACTAAGACTTCTCTGAAGAACGAGAAGTTTAATAAGGGAAAACAGAGATCTGTGGGAACAAATGACTCTGCTGTACTTGGAGGGGGCCAAGACCCCAGAAGCTCTCCTAAAGTTACGAAGCAAGAACTTATGGCTACTTCAGGGAATATTTCTTAGTAACTGGGACTGAAGGGAAACTGGCTGGCTAGGGTATCCACGCCCATGGGCCACATTTCACTACTGAGTGGGGCTACTGTGCCTCATATTGCTTTCCCTTGGCTTTCTGAAGCCTCAAGGCCTTTCCCATGGAGCAGACCTGTCCTTTGGTTTCATGGCTCATATTTGCTGAAACTCCTGAGACAAGGCAAGGGATAGACCTTATGGTCTAGTCCAGCACTGTCAAGACTGTGACGACGTTCACTTTCAGAATGTCAGGGCAGGGCCATGATCTCTTAATTCTATGGAGTTTTAAATTTAATGAAAATAATACATTAATTTTTAATTAATGTAATTTTTAATGTAATTTAATTTTTTAAAAGCCTGGCACAAACAGAAAAAAAATAAAATAAATTTTAACTGAATTACTCAGAAGATAATCCAAATTTGCTTTGAGGGAAGATAAAGAGTTGTTTGTTCCAGCCCTTCTTTCTGGAGGTTTCTAGGATTTCAAACTTTTCAAAGATATGGGAACAGTAATTTAAAAAAGCAACACCGGGGCTGGGGATTTAGCTCAGCGGCATAAGAGCCTGCCTTGCAAGCAGGCAGTCGTGAGTTCGATCCCCGGTACTGATAAAAAGGAAAAAGACACAATAAATAAATAAATAAATAAATAAATAAATGCAACACCATTTATGCAATTTCATCACTATAAAACAAGACCAGTGTTTGTCATCATTGTTTGTGCCACAGTGACTAGATTTAAATGTTTAATAGTTACAGGGTTAAGTCAGTAGTCTCAAAAAATAACCACAGTTCTCTTTTTCAGAATAATATTTGGAAATGCAGAGTTAGATATTGCTAGAAAGAACGTGTATCAGCAATCAAAATGAGGGATAAAAAGAGCCAGTGTCATGCTATATAATAATCATTGCTTTATGATGTATTAAATTCTCAACAATGTCATACATCCCAGCTTTTATATGCTAGTTCCTTATCTTGACTGAACAGCTGGTTTGCTTCAAGAAATACTATTACCAGTCTTCTTTGGATAATACATCTGTACTCTGCCAGGAAAGAAACTTAAATTATCTGAATTAAGCTTATTAATTAACTGTACAAAGCTGGTTAAAAAGACATAAAATATATTTTATGATATTTTAGAAAATTATAAGAACATGTGTTTGAAATATATATGTATCTTGAATGTAATTTGAATGAAGACTATCTAGACAGTAACAGGCATTCATGCTAATTGTCTTTCGCACTCCTAAAATATTCACACATCATCAATCATCTGGAATATTAAATGTGCTTAAAAATTCTTCCCAAAAGACCGATAATCTTCTTAACTTTTAAGTATGATGAAAGACTTAATTAGAAACAAAGCAAACAAAAATGAAAAACTTACAATGATGGGAATTTTCTCTTTGGGCTTTGCTAGCTGCTTGGCCAACAAATACTGTTCCATTCCAGGTTTTGCAAATCCAGGAAATCTAATCATGAAGATAAATACTTGTGAATTTTATGTCTTTCTGCATAAGAATTCTGTAATTCTCACCATGTTACTTTAAAGACACTGGTTTTAACCTAGTTCAGTCTCTGAGATATACAGAACTAGAAACTGTGGTAAATGAAACCCAGTGCAATCAGACTGTAAATGGCCAGTTACTTAATTAAGCTTGATCTGTTAAAGAGAAGTTTGCCTTCAGTAGGTATGATATTTATGGGTACTCCATTTACTGAACTAGATCTGAAACACTCTATCACAATGGAGAGCAGACTTGAAACAAAGTCTCTCCTCCTCAGTATCCAGCACCTCAATTTCAGTTGGTCACATGAGGCAACAGTCACATGCTGGCACATCTACACCCAGATTACAGCTGCCTTTTGACACACTCCAGGAGGTTACAGTTATCCCAAAGACACTGCTACCTCACAAGTGGTCATCATTTTCTTTTGGAACTGCTTTCAAAGCCAGCTTATAAGACACAACAGGAAAGAAGTCTCCTTAATAAACAGATCCGAAATGTAACAGATACAGTTGGTTACTTCCAGGATCCAAATCTACATTCACATCCAAAGGAAGTTTCTAAAACTAGAGAATAGCTAGAATAAATGCATATCCATCCAAAATACTACTTCTTGGGCTGGGGGGTATAGTTCAGTGGTAGAGCACTTGGCCCATTAGCTTGAGGCCCTAGGTTTGATCTCTAGTACTGCAAAAACAAAAACCAAGTGCTATTTCTGAAAAAGAAAAGATTAATTTTGACCTTAAAATTTTCCCTTTAATAGGGAAGCAGTATACCTAAAGTCAGAAAGCAATATACCTAAAGTGGGAAAAGCTCAGCTACATTACTTCTTTTCATTTATACATCAAGCCTAAGGCCAGTGAGACACTTTTAGGGGCCTGTACCTTTCTCTTTCATTCTTGAGTGCCTTCTTCCCTGTAGTCCCTCTTCCTATACACTCTCTGGGTACAGGAGAAAACAAAGAAGTGCCTCTGAGTCGGCAGGTTCTGGGTTTGAACCCCAACTCAGTACTTGGCATTAGTAGCCTCAACCTCCTTATATGAAGAAGAGAACCAAGATGATCTACTTTCTAGGATGACCAGGAAATAAAAGGTTCCCATAAAGAGCCTTCTATTTGCTCTTTTTTTTTTTTTTTTAACTTTTTGTCAGTACCAGGGATCGAACTCACGACTGCCTGCTTGCAAAGCAGGTGCTTATGCCGCTGAGCTAAATCCCCAGCCCCAAGAGCCTATTATTACATGTCCTCATGTAGGGCTTTCTCTGAGCTTCTTCAGCAGCTGAGGATATTCATGCTTATTCATTTACCACAATGTACAGTCACTGTCTCTTTACATGTTACAACAGAGTAGAGATCCTTAGACAAAGTATTTGCATTTCTAGGACCTGGAGGAGTTCTGAGAACATACTAAATGCTTAATGAATTAATAGGCTAGCCAGGAATCCTTTTACCTAAGAATCTCCACTTTTGTGGGGACCACATATAGTTATAACTAAATCAGAGCTGACTTCAGAGAACACACTGTAAACTTTGCGGCAAAACTCTGGTGCCAACTATGCATACCCAGTTAATGCTCAATGAACAACAATGTAATTTATTAATTTATGTGAGAATTATTGAGATGGATTCTCACAATGCTCAAGCATAAATTTCTACTCTACTTTTTAGGACAATGTTTAACTTCCACGACTAAATATAGTTCATATAAATATAGTTCATATAAAATGAATTGCTAGAGAGTTGTTAAACACTTTTAAAATTTTTATAATTGTTCTAAGTTTAAGAGATCATTTGTCTATTAGTATAAATAAAACTAGAAGATTTTAAGTTGTTCCTAGCACCCAGACAGACAGAGGCCTCAGGGGTACAGGTTCAAATTAGAGCTGCTCTAATTTGGTTTTAACCTGCAAGAACATTTTAAAATAGAAAGAATCCATAATAAATTTAGAGATGAAGAAACTGAAGTTTGAAGAGGTCATCAAAGGCATGGAGCACCTTAGAGACAGTGCAGAATGGAGAGGTGGAAACTAAAGTCAGAGCCAAACACACTTGTGAAACCACGGCCATTCACTTTTCCGGAGTCTTGTGTTTTTAAATTAGGGCCAAGAGGCAAATTTAAATAGGTTTAAAATATAGTTTATACAAAGGCCTAAAGAACAAATAAGAGTAATACATATCACTCTTGTGCTCAAATTTGAGTCTAAGCAGATACAGTCATTAATAAATGACTGATGCATGCAACTAACTGCCATGACAATACGAAACAGAAGAAACAGCAGGGAGAGGCTAAAACAAAAGTATGCAGTCAAAAAAGAGCTTATTTAGTCCCTACTGCAACTTAAACAGTGGAGACCCCGCAGGCCTCATTCTGCTAGAGCAAGACCTTAATCCTACTATCTACATACACGCCAAACAGCATGCTTTCAATTGTTTTCCAGACATACTACAACATTCTTTGATATGTACTTTAAATCATGGACTTGGATTGTTCAGAAAAAGTAACAGTAATTTTAGAAAATAAACTATTTTAAGCAAAACTGCTGGAAGAGGAGTATTTAAAGATTCTTAGGGATAAGCTTTTCTTTTTTTTGTCTTTTTCGTTTTTATCGGTACTAGGGATCGAACTCACGACTGCCTGCTTACAAGGCAGGTGCTTATGCCGCTGAGCTAAATCCCCAGCCCCCAGGGATAAGCTTTTCAAGCTACACTGATGTAAAGTAGATTTACCTGGAACTCTCGCCAAATATACTACAGTGCTATATCCATATTCCCTCTTTCCCACATGCTGTTAAACAGTAAATTTATAGGGACTATAAAATATTTTTTCTTAATGTAAGAGAAATATAAGTGAAAAGGAAGAACTAAGAAACCCATTAGGTGTAGAAGCTGAGAGCATGTGCCTTGGATACTAGGACCTAAGAATTCTGGCAACACTGGTCAACTGTGTAAGCCTGGAGGAAACCTCCTTGGGCTTCAGTCCCCCCTCCCAAGTAACAGGGGATTACATGTACCACAGAAAGACATGAGTACACACACACTGCACTTTGCTCAATGCCTGGTGCGTGTGGATCATAAAACAAAACAGTCAATAGCGAATTGTTATTAATATTATTTTTAATTTATTATATATTATTATGTTTTCTAATAATTATTTTAGCAATGAACCTTAAAATACCACAAAGCTGATAAAGGAAAGGTAAAAACAATAAAAACTATTTGGCAGATGATTAAATACAAGAAATGTTTCATTATTAATATTGTAAAATACATTTTTAAAATATCAGCTTTTGAGCTAAAACCCAAATTAAAATGGCCAAAACTTACCCAAAATTCAATAGATCACTGAATAGATCACTGAATAAATAGATTACTGAATAAAGAGGCGGTTGCCTCTTTGTATTTTTTGTATATCCCTACAATGATATCAGTGCCCTCTACTTCCCTTTAAACATACTTGTTAAGTGGCAGCTTCATGGAGGAGGCACCTGGACGACTGTTTCCTCGCTGAATACCTCCTGTTTCAGCTGATTCTGGATCCTTAAAGTAAGAAGAAGAGGACTTGGGGTCATCCCAGTCTTCATCCCACTCATCATCATCACCAGCTGCTATAGGTGGGAACATAAAATTATCAGTACAGAAAAATACAATAGAAATGAAGTTATTTTTACTTTTTAAAATTTTATTTTAAAGATACTAAAATCCAACAGAACAAAGCCAATCAAAACAAAGCAGCAAAATTGGTATGGAACTTCAAAGCAGGACACTTGGAATCAAATTTTTAAAAGCACAGAAAAAAGGATTTAATATAGAAATATATTACGGATGTTAGGAGTACAGGTTTTGTAGCCAGACCATCTTAAGGCGTGACTACTACAAAAGACAAATTAGAAACAATTTAAACAGGAATGGTCAGGTCAAATAATTTTGACAAGGGCACCAAGAAAACACAATGGGAGAAAGCACCATTTCTTCAATAAATGGCACTGGGAAGACTGTATTATTTGTGTTCAGAAGTATGAAATTGGACCCTAAATTTACATCATGTACAAAAATCAACTCAAAATGGATAAAAGATCTAAATATAAGATCGGATAGGGTAAAATTCCTAGAGGGAACTATAGGGAAAAATTTCCAGTCACATCCAAAGCTCAAAGTAAAAATAACATGGGGGAATACATCAAACTACAAAACTTCTGCACAGCAAAGGAAATAATAAATGAAAGATTAGTTATGAACTGGGAGGATGTTTTTGCAAACCATGTATCTGATAAAGGATTAGCATCCAAAATGTATAAGGAACTCACATAGTTCAACAGCAAATAAATATGGTAGATTCCCTCATCTACAGTTTCACTTTCTACAGTTTCAGTTACATGTGGTTAACCATGGTCTAAAATATTAAATGGAAAATTTCAGAAATAACCAATCCTTAAATTGCTCTGTTCAGAGCTGCATGGTGAAATCACATGCCTTCCTGCTTCATTTGTTCACAAAGAAGAATCATCCCTTTGTCCAGCCTATCCACTCAGTACACACTGACCTTCTATTAGTGAGCAGTCACCTGGGTAATGAGATGAACTGTTAAGGTATCATAATTCTTGCAATCAAGCAATCCTTAGTTTACTTAATAATGGCCTCAAGGCACAAGAGTAGTAAGGCTGGCAATTCAAATATGAAAAAGTAGTGGTAAAGTCATTTTTTTAGGTAAAAAGATGAAAAATTTTGACTTAATAAAAGGTTACTAAGATGTATTATGAAACAGTGAAAAAGGAAAAGGTTATCCATGCAAGACAGTCTTGTTGTTACACTTCACAATGCAAAAGTTAGGGTCACAGTATATTATAAGTGTTTAGTTAAGATTAGACAGTAGGTATATGAAAAGGTGTTCACCATAAGTAATCATAAGAAAAATGCAAATCAAAACCACTATGAGGAGTCACCTGTTACAATAGTTAAAAAAAATTCAAGAGATGAGATGTGTCAGGAAGGATGTGGAGAAAGGAGATCCTTGTATGCTTTTGAGGGGAATGTAAAGTGGTATAACCATTACAGAAAACAGTATGGAGGTCTCTCAAAAAACAAAAACAGAACTATCTTATGACTCAGTAATCTCTCCTCTAGGTATATAACTAAAAAAATGAAATCACCACATAGAGATATTTCCCCCCATGTTCAATACAGTATTATTTGAGAAAGACAGGCGACATAATCAACCTATGTGTTCATTACCAGATGAATGGATAAAGGAACTGTAGTTTTTCAGTCTTGAAAAAAACATACTGCCCTTTGTGATAATGTGGGTCAATCTAGAAGACATTATGTTGAGTATAAAAAGCAAGGCAAATGCATAATTTTTAAAAAGATGAGCTTATAGAAGCACAGAATGGTGGTTACTGGGGTGAAGAGATGTAGGTCAAAGGTACAAAGTTGAACTTATAAAAGATGAGTAAGTCAAGACATCTCATGCAAACTATAGGACTGTCACTAATACAGTATTATATACTGGATATTTGTCATACAATATTTAAAAATTGAGTATATTTAAGGTATACCATGTATCATGATTTATGTACACAGTGATAAACACTAATAAGGGTAAAAGAAGGGCAATGAAAAAAAAAGATGGAAAACTATATGGTGCAGTATGGGGGAAAAAGAAAACAGAGACAATGAGAGAAAAGAACTGGCCAGCACTGGGACTGGGAGGATCCAACAAGAAGCCAATCAGCCAGCTGTTCTGGTAAACTGTGCAAGTTGTGTAGCTCCCAGGAAGAGAAGTCAGTGCCTCCCTTGAGCCTACCAGCAGGTGAGCTGAAAATCAATCCCCTTACCCCTCCAACCTCCTAAGCAACCTGCTTGTTTGGAGGTTAGGCTGAGTTGATAGCAACTAAGGTACATAAAGCAACTAAATGCTTATACTGTTTGGTTGATTCTGCAGGCCTGGGGCCAGCGGTTTGAGCGTCTCTTGGGAGGACAACAGTATGCAATATAGCAAGTATGGGGGATTTCCTTCTATCTTGTCTTTGAAGGCCAATACTGTTCTCATTGTTTTGCTTTGTTCTGATTGTTTTTGCTTTATTCAATATTCTATATTGATTGGTTTTATTCTGTTTTACTTTTGGCTTAATGTTGTTACATCTGATGGAACAGACAACTATTGTGAAGGCAACAAGATATACTGTGTTAGCTATTGTTGTTTACCTAGTATCCTGCTTTAAAGGTCTGTACCAGTTTTGCTGTGCTTTAATTGACTTTGTTCTGTTTTGTTTTGTTAGAATTTACTATCTTTAAAATAAAAAATAAAAAAAGAACTAGCCAGCATCACAGCCTAACATTCTGACCCTGGTCCCTGTGTTGGCTCTACTCCCCTTTCCTTCCCTCTTCTCACTGCTGTATGCCTCCTTTTCTACCCTAAAGGACCTGAAGTGTCCTCGACCTTTAGGCTCTAAGAGGGCCATCACTGAGAAGCTGAGAGACAACTACAAAAGCACAAAGAAAACAAATGATTAGAAGGATGTGGGTCCAGTTACCATAGAACTGGACACCAGCAGTCCAGCTTCAATGTTTCTACCTAACCCACACTCCTAGTTCTGCTGAATGATGAGCTTATGACTATAATATGAATTTTTTTTTTCTTTTTTTTTGGGAGACAGGGTCCAGGGTCTCCCTCTGGGGGTCTGGGATTCTTTCTGTTAGTCAGGCCATCTTCAAAATCCTGGGTTCAAGTTACCTTCCTGTCTCAATCTCCTGAAGTTGCTGACTTGCAGGGAAACACTATCATGCCCAGATTTTCTTCTGTGATGTTTTTCTTCTTTTGCAATATTGGGGATTTAAACCCACAGCTTTGAACTAATCTACCTCCGCAGGTTTTTTATTTTACCATGGAGTCTTGCTAAGTTTTCCAGGCTGGGTTTGAACTTTTGGTTTTCCCTGCTCAGTCTTTCATAGTGCTGGGATTATAGACACAGGCCACCATACCCTGCATCCTCTGGTTTCTGGATGCAAATTTCTCCCCCTTCTGTAACAGACTTACAATTCTGGGTACAAGCTCACAGATGATACAATATAGAAGGGTCATAAAAAGTAATGAGTAGACTTGGCTTTTTTGTTGTTATCTGGAGACAGTCTTAGTTTATAATTTAGGCTGGTCTTGAACTAACTCATGGAGATCCTCCTGCCTCAGGCTCCCAAGTTTTGGGAATGCAAACATGCATCAACATGCCCAGCTTGTCTTTGTATTTAAATTCAGAACAGATATACATGCCCTTTTTTAATTCCTGAGTTATTTCCCCCTCCATAAGGTTTTCTTCTGTTTCAGTTTTTGGGCTGGTAATTCAAATAACCCAAGTATCAGACAGGCAGTTAAGGAAAAGATAAATCAGCCATGAGCAGCAGGTAATGCTCCATAGTCTACTTGCAGACATATTTTTTGGCTGAAGGTTCTGAAACAAGCTGTGTGCAATGGTATACATCCCTAATCCCAGTTATTCAGGAGTTTAAGGCAGGAGAACAGCAGTTCTAGGTCAAACTGGGCAACTTAGTGACACTCTCAAAACAAAAAACAAAAAACAAACAAACAAAAAAAAAGAATTAAAAAAAGGGCTGAGATGCTAGCATGCAAGAAGCTCTAGATTTGATTTCCAATATAAAAACAAAATTAAAACTATGTTCTTGGCTGAGACATTAAGATGAGAAGATAGCATAAAAACAGATTTCCAGAGCGTAATTCTGGGCCCCTTTAGATCCAAGGCCCCTTTCAGTCTCCCGCAGACCACACAGCCTATTTTGCTCTTTTACTTTACCAATATGGTTCTTTAAATGTTTCATTCTGATTCCTTGACTGACAATGGAGTAGAGATTACAATTCATGATTGTGTTTAGATCCAAAGAATGGCTATCCACATTTAGATCCAGGTTGGTTACTAGAGAGTAAGAGCAACTATCAGCATATCTTTTGAATAAAATCTATTTTGAACTCAGATGATCCAGTGTGATATTGTGATATAATAAACACATATTTCATCTCTGCTCCCAGTTTCTAGCACAGAGCTGCTAAAATCCTTGCAATTTTCTGGTGATGTGTTAAGACTGGTGTTCCCCCCCCCCCTTCATTTAGCAGTTATTCCTTTGTATCTGCTGGGACTTGATTTCAGACCCAACTCATCACTTTCAGACTCTTATCGACCTTAGATGCGTAAGTTTCTTATACAAAATTGTGCAATATTTGCATGTCACCTATACAATTTTCTTCTACAGTTTAAAACATATCTGGATTACTTAAAATCCTACATAATGAAAATGAATGCTATGGAAACACTTTATGCTATATTATTGAGAGAATAATAATAATAGGAAAGTCTTTACACATTCAGTATAGATGGAATTTTTTTAGAATATTCTGAATAAACTTGTGGTTAACTGAACACAGAGTTGGTGAACCTGAGGTTTGGGAACCTGAGGCTGTGGGCCTTGGGGGCTGCAAAGCTGTAGATGAAAAGAGCATAGAGCACTTGGTCTCTGATTCTGGTTCCTGACACAGTCCTATTCCCTTGGTGTTTTGGGTCTTTTGTTTAAATGAAGAGACTCATAGTGGGCTCCTAGTTGGGGGTTGGTCTCCAGCAAGACTAAGCCATTATTAAAAGCTTAGAATTTTCAGCCTCAACCCCATCCTCTGGTAAGAAGACAGAAAATTAATTAATGGTGCTTACATGATGAAGCCTCCAAAAATATCCCTGAGGATCAGGGTTCTGAGAGCCTTTTGGCTGGTGGTGAAGGTGGAGTGCCCACAGGGCATGGAAGCTCCAACTCCTCCCTCATGCCATGCCCTCTGCATCTCTTCAGGTGGTTGTTTAACTATAGCCTTCAATTTATCCTTTGTGATAAACTGGTATGTACCATTAAGTGCCTTCCTGAGTTCTGTCAACTGTTCTAGAAAACTAATGGAATCTGAGGAGAGAATCATGGGAATCCCTTAGCCCACTCTGGTTAGACAATGTCAGGACTGAAATTGCAGAACTCTCAGCAGGTTGGTGGTCACCAGAGAATGGCTTGGTATATTGAGTGTTCTGTATCATGTTGTGTGTAAGAGTGGCAAAAACAGTTTGGCTTTCCCGTGTCTTGCCCAATTTTCCACCTATCACCTATAGAAGGAGCCTCTCCTCACCTGGTCCTTGGTAGGCCTGCGGGTGTCCGAAGGCAGTGTCCCAGTTGTTGGCAGTGCTTCTCTGGGTGCTAGCCCCCTCTTGGCGGGCTCCCCAGCCATCTGAGCTCTCCCAGTTCCCAGATTTTGGGGCATTCCAGGCTAACCAGGGATCATTGCCACCACTGACCTATGTGGGGGGAAGAGAGAATATCTGTGACTTCTAGAAACTATGACTCAATTTACCAACATGACAACTGAGAGCAAGAGGAGTACTGATGGAACCTCATTTAATTTTAAATGTAAATAATTTTCCCCAGAGCATGTAGAGAAGCACACTAGCAGCATCCATCTGCTTTTACTGACATTAACATTCTGCTGTATTTGCTTAGTAACTCTGAAAACAGAGCAAGTACAGTGGTACCTTGGTGCATGAATACCTCCATTTGCAAACAATCTGGTTTGCAAATGGAAGTGTTGGGACAAAATTGTGTTTTGGTCTGCAAACTACATCCAGTGACAACTATGACGGTGGCCCATTCTTCTAATTACAATCATAGCGATTTTTTAAAAAACGGTAGAATAAATCAGATTCAGTTAAAGACCTCTATATTTCCTTCCCAGAAGTAATTTATTTTTTTGAGCTATATATTTATTCTTGGCCAAGTTTCTCTACTTGGATGGTTTATGTGCACATCTATAAAATCAACCTACAGATATTATACTGAATGTGCGTCTTCACAAGCTATTTCTTCATTCCACATTGTTTTCAGATTATAAATGGTGATGAGTACCTGCTTTATCCATCAACTGTTTTATAGCAATTCATTCCATTTTAAGGTTTTTATTTTTATTTGAAAACGTAATGTATGCAGAGTAAAAACATTCCAAATGGAATAAAATGATATACAATTAAGCAACACGACTACCTCCTTAAGAGAAGCCAGTCATTATTTGCAAAACTACTACTACTACTACTACTGTGACAGACAAAATCACAAGTTTAATCACAGATATAACTGTCATTTATTTGAGATTCATGAATCAGGCAGTGTATATCCTATAAAAGAGAATGAAAGTACCCAAGGCAATGGGAGAACAATGGTTTTGTAAGGTAACAAACAAAGTAATAACAAAAGCTGAGTGGTAAACATGGGGTTACTTCAGGATAGTTTTTTTAAGGATTAAAGTCCTTTATTTGGAAAGGATTACTTTTTGTTGCAAACAGTTAAAAGGAGCTTCCCTGTTTACCTTAATTCAGGCAGATTGGAATTTACTATTTTCAGGAAAAATTGGTCTGTATTGGGATCTTTCACTATGATTATGTGGCATTTAGCATGAGTGTTTTCATTTTGGGTTGGCCTGATCTGCTGGGGCATAATGCAGGAGCTCAGTCCACAACAATGGCTTCCCATAATTTTTGCTTTACACCACTAACAAATTCCATATACATACATACTGAAACATCCCAGATAGAGAGATCGTTTTGTTTTTAACATATAAATGAGTCCAAATTATACCTTCTACTCTGCAATTTTCTTCCTTCTCTTACTAGCACAAAACATTCTCAATATCAATACACAGGGATATAACATCCTTTTATGTGGCTCCACAGAATTGTATTGCATGTATTTTCCACAATTTAAACACTGGTGCTTATCTTGCTTTCAGTGTAATATTGCAACATACAACTGTGTACCTCTTGTCATTTATCTAGCAGATCTGTGAAATTTCCAGAAGGAAAATCACCAGAGTAATGCATATGTATATTTAGAACTGACAGATTTTGTCAAATTGCTTTCCAAAGAGGTTGGTTATATTCCTACATTTCTACTGACTTCCTGAGGCCTTGAACTGCATATAATGAGGCTATCATACTCCAAAATTATTTTAAAAATAATTTTATCCCACTATTCCTTTGAGTGATTTTATAATTTACTTAACATTGCTATAGGTTAGCATGAGTCGCATGTTGATGGAAATCACACATAGGCCAATTTTAAGGCTAAAATAAAATAAAACAAACACAGCTAGCTATTCCATAGACAACAACCCCAGAAAGGACAGAAAACATAGTTACTTTTACATTTATGGGATCTCAAAAGAATGTCATTAATTATTCATAGAATTTTTTAAAAGGTGGCAATGGTTTTATCTGGTTTGCCCACAGGATACACTCTGCTTCCTTATTTTAGGAGTACATGGGTTTATTTCTTTCATTCCTTTTCCCTTCTGCTTACCACAAAGTGTAGCTAGTTACCCACTTGCTTCCTATCAGGCTGCTACTTCAATACACTATGAGTGCTCTGCCTTGGTTATATTCCTGGACTCCAGAGGTAGACCATCTAGGTTCAAATTCCATCTCAAATTCCATTGTGTTGTCTGTCATCAGTAAGTAATTTAACCTATTTAAAGTCTGTTAGCTTTCTGCCCCAGTATTGTGAAGACAATTCTGGAACAGGCAATATATATGGCATCTTATTTCCACACTACTTTGGAGCCTACTAGATAGAAAACCCATTAATAAACCATTAAAAAACTTTAGGTTAACATCTCTCCTCTGTTTATTTTTACACAAGAACTTTAGCTGAATACCTTTAAAATCACCGTGTGGAGTTTGGCAGTGCAAACCTATAATCTCAGCACCCATGAGGCTGTGGCAAGAAGACTGTCAAGAGTTTGAGGCCAGCCTGAGCTCCACAGAGAGATTCAAAGTCAGCCTGAATTATGTGGCAAGACCTTGTCTCAAAAAAAACCAAAATGAATGACAATAAAAAACTTAAAACCATCTAAACTTTAGCTTTAGAATGTTCAGTTTAAAAATGAGACTTCATTTGAGTCACCTTAAATTTACTTATAAATTCAGAAAAGTATCTTTTTCTAAAATTTCAGTATTAAAATTAAAAATATGAAAGTGAGTTTTCTCTTTTATTCAAATCTTTTTATTTAAAAAAGTATTGAAATTCTTTTTAAAATTTTATTAGTAATGTTTGCACTACTTAATGATTATACACATTATGGGAAGTTGGTACAAGGATGTAACAATTTTAAGTATTTTACCCCTTTCCTTTCCCTCAATCTGTTGATTCTCTTCCCTATCACCATCTTTGAAAGGTCAACTAGATTCGCAGACTGGTGGGGAGAGAAAACAAGGCCACACCAACAAGTAAGCCCAGTCTGGGAAGTAGTGCCATGGCGCATTGGTCGGACTGGAACAGCCAGACCCCAGCCGCCTCCAGTGCATAGGCTGGAAAACAACAAGTACCAATCATCTCCCCACTTCCTAGGTAGGCGACTAGTATATCCAGAGAAACACAGGCTTTAATGACAGCTATAAAGGTAAAATGCAACTGGATGCCTGTGGTGCTTTGGTGTTTGACTAACATTGCAGGTCTATGGCCAGTAGTCTCATGATTGGTTCAGACGATAATGGTACACAGTGTGGCATCTGCGGGGGTGGATCTTCTCAGGGCTGTAGCCATTGTTGATTTCCTATAGTCTTGTTTTGAAGTCCTGTATAATTCCACTGTTTCATTAGGATGGATTTTATTCTCTTTTATTTTGTTTGATTATGTTAAATCTGATGGCAGGAGCAGCTATTTCAAAGATAGCAAGATATATTATGGTAACAATTTTAGATTTACTATTGGCTTGTTTTGAAATCCTTTATTGCATTCATTGCTTTGTTTTTATTGTTTCTATTCTATTCTGTTCCATTTGATTTTTATTATGTCTGAAGTTTTTGGCAGCTATTTGAAGGCATTATGGATACTATTGTTGATTTTATAATGTTTTGAAGTTCTATATCTGTTACACTGGTTTGTTTCAATTAGTTTTAGTCTGCTTTATTCTCTTTAAAATAAAATTTTTTTTTAAAAAAGTCAATTATCTTCAGTATTTTGACATGTGTTTTCCTATTTATACTTTGAGGTTCCCATATAAGAGAAACCATGTAATATTCAGGTGCATCTATTTTCCTATGAATGACTCAAATTTGTCCTTCTTTACAGCAGAGGTGTACCACATTTTCTTTACTCACTCATCTACTGATTAAGTAAGTGACATACAGGCCACTTCCAAGATTTAGCTTTGTAAGTTGTGTGGCTATAAAAATGAGTATTCATGTATCACTGTAACATGATGTCTTTAACTCTTGCATGAAGGTATCTAGAAGGGGAGCAATTGGGTTGAATGGAATTTCTACTTTTAATTTTCTGAGGAATTTCCATACTGATTTTCATAGAGATTATGATTGTTGATAAATTTTAAAACAAGAAAGTTAAAAAGAAGTCAGAAAAATTATGCAAATTTTCTACTGGTCTACTGTATATCTCTATGAAGTAGTTTTTTCCTCTTTTTTTTGAGGCAGGGTCTCACTATATAGTTCAAGCTGGCCTTGAACTCACTTATGCAGCTCAGACCAGCCTCAAACCCCTGACAGCCCTCCTGCCTCACTTTCCCAAGTGTCAGGATTACAGGTGTGTGCCACCATGCCCGGCACATCTTTCTGAAGTTTTAGAATGTCTCAAGGGCTGTTATGTTTTATACCTTACTAACCTGATATGAGGTGGCTAACTGGATGCACAGGTCCAGAATAACTGATTTAACTCTAATACTCCTACTCTAATAGCTTTAGAGAAAAATGAAGCTACTTGTTATTTTACCCTAAGTTCAGTATTAACAGCAGAAACATGTTTCATCCATAAGACTGTGAATTTATGAAACATACAGCTCATAAATGACACTCAGCTCTGGAGATGGACTCTCCAGTTACCTGTGGACACTGGACATGGTGTGACCACACTGAGGTTCTAACAGCGACACTCAGGACAAACGCTTCCTTTTACAGTTTGATTAACATGTTCCTGCCAACTTGAACCACGCTGATACACATGCACGACTGCACCATCCATGGTTCAGAATCATCTGGCAGCAAAACACACAAATTATGGTTCCATTGTGACTGTGTTAAGGGATAGAGTTTGAATCAGCAACATGTATTCTCTGTCTTCCAAACTCTTGAGGTTTTTAGAATAAGATCATCAAAAAGTACAAAAGTTTGGGGGAGTGGATAATGGTAAGTACAGACAACCAGTCATACAAAAGGTTCAGCATGAGGAGCAAGGTTCCGTGTGTCAGCTGCTGGGCCTGCAGCCCCAATGCTTTAGGTCAGAGTACCACACAGCACTGCAGTGCAGCTCGAGACCAACTGTAGAGGACGTGGACAGGACTGGGACTTCACATACTCTGAGCAAACTGGCCAAGGAATTTTATCTGGAGGTGAGCTAGTCCTAGTAAGTACCCTCCAAAAAAGTACAATTTATTTAACTGCACAGAAACAACATAACTGTTCTTTCAAAATTACTTTGTTTATAACCTATAAGCTTGTAATAAATGTCATATATATATTTTTTCCAGCTGCATACCTAGGTTACAAAATCTTTGTATATTTATTTCTATCTCTGTATTTTTCTAGAACATTCCCCCATCTTGTTTCAACCTGATGCATGCTGCTAATAAGTCTGTCAAAACCTGCACCACTAGCCAGGGGTGATGGTGTATGCTTGTAATTCTCCAAGAGGCTGAAGCAGGAAAATTCCAAGTTTGAGCTCAGACTTGGTAACTTAGTGACCCGACAACACCATGTCTTAAAATAAAAATATAAAATGTGAAAAAAGGACTGGAAATGTAGCTCAGTATGAAGGTCATTCAATCCCTGTTACCATAAAACTAAACCAATCCAAACCAAATCATGTGTGTGTACCTGTGCACACAGGCACACACATGCAAATCTAAACAACTGGAAGGCATATTTGTGGGAGGACTTCTTCATGGGCTCCCAGTTGCTTTTTGTTAGAACTGACATGGGAGGTTCCATTTTGCTACTAATATCTTTCACAGTGGAAAGAACTCAAACATTTTAAATGTGATGTCCTTGATAATTTTTACGAAAAATATATTACTCTTTGGCAGACATCTAACCTTCATAACATCATTATTTTCAGAGGAGGAAATCAGATTTCATTTATGTATATTGATTTTTTAGGAAAATAACTTGCTGTGGTTGATCACAGAGTAATTTTTAGCATGCAACTACAGGGAAAATGATTTTCAGAATACAGCATCACCATACTCTTAAAATAACATCATCATACTGTTAAAATAGTATCATCTGAGTTATGAAAGTCATCTCAGCTACTGTAGAAAAGCTTGAAAGATACAGACAGACATAAGTAGATGGAAGGATAGACAAATATGTGAGAAAATAAGAACAGTCAATGTTTACAGTACATCCTATAAAGTAGGTAAATGATGATTTACTAAGCAATCCGCTTAACTTTTCTTTCTTTTTATGTTTTTATTTTTGGTCTTTTTGAGACAGGGTCTCACTATGCAGTTTAGGCTGGCCTTGAGCTCACTAGGTAGCCCAGGCTGGTCTCAAACTCCCAACACTCCTCGTGCCTCAGCCTCCTAAGTGCTGGGATTACAAGTGTGTGTCACCATGCTTAACTTTTCTAAGTCTACCTGATGTCTTAACAAAATATTGGAAAAAAAAATCAACCAAATTTGTATATTCAGTAACTTTCTTCTGAGCTCCATTAGAGGGTACACAGGAAACACAAGAAAGAGCTATGTTTGTCAGAGTCACCGTTCATATATGGTACCTATGAACATGGGACCTAACACATGGGAAGTGCTTAATAAAGTATTAAACAAATACACTCCCAGAGCATGTCTTTTTTGATCTATAACAAACATTTTAATTTGCCTTGTGGTATACCTAACTGATTGTGTCCAACTTTCTTTCTAATTTCCTTCCCCAACTAAATTAAATGTTCCAGGGCCAAGCACAGCATATTCAACAGATTTGCAGATTTAACTCTAAATTTAAAAGGTCTCTTATCCTCATAAGACAAATGAAGAAATGTTCATCTTGGCTTTGTATGAGGAGACTGATTTAAAGGTATTTATTGAAAGGATTCATGGCACTGGCTAAGTTTCATCAGAAAGAAAAGGAGACAGGCTGACACCTAACTATAGTCACATGGAAACAGAAAAGAGTCAAAGTGACAGCTGTGCACACTGCACACTCAGGATGTATGACTACTACAGGAAAGCTGTATATACGACAAATAGAGCTGTTCATCATGTGTCAATGGGATACCTTCTGAGAAATGCAGCACTAGATGACTGGATCACCACGTGAGTGCACAAATCTAGGTGATATGCCAGATCACACTACTATACAACCTTTTCAAAAGATGATTCTAGGCACACAGGGTATTTTCTATTCCGGTTAAAGATCTGTTTTCTTCAAATAGATAAAAGAAGAACCATGTCACCATCAAGCTCAATGGCAACCCCTGATTCGTAGGCTTTTGGCACAAATATTTTTAGTTTGTAATAAATGCTAAGAGCTTGGCATTTCCAATAGGGATTGTAAAAAGCCACAATGTGATGATCTCTTTGGATCCTCTGGCCACTTACTTCTTTACTACTGATCCTAATAAATACTTTCATCCTCTCAACTGCAGACATCTGGGTATATCATGACCCACTTTGATGCCTGGTTGAGGTTTTAAGCTCTGAGATTCTTCTTTAGCCTTTCCTTCTACCTCTCCCTCTTCTCTCATTTCTATAGAGCCACATCTTTGGCCTCTTCTGCTCCTTCTTGGTACCAAGCCCTGCCTGTCACTCACAGGATTAAAAACTCTTCTCTGGATCCCACTGCTTACGGGACAAATGCATAAATCATATTTTAGGGAAGCTAGAAGGTTTTCAAGGCCCTAATTCTTCAACAGTTTCCACTTCAGGTTACCTGGCTCTGGAAGAACTTTCACAAGATACTTTACCTGAAACAATCACCTCACTGGTAAGAAAAGTTTACTTGGAAGAGTTAAAATATTTATTTCCTGTTGCATATGAGCTTGAAATTTACCTTATTTATAGAAGAAGAAGGAGAAGGAGAAGAGGAAGAGGGTGGTGATTGGCTGAGACTTTCAATACAACCAATCTGAGCCAAAATATCCACCTTAAAATAAAAAACAGTGCTCAGTAAATGGGGTAAAAAACTTTTAACCAAATTCAGTAAATTCATGGCAGGCCTAAATTCACCAAAAAATGCTAGCATGCCACTCATTCACAGACATTACATGCAAAAAAGTCCCAAATATCTGGCAGTGGATTGTCATCAATGCATTGCAACTTCTGAGGTCTGTTGCTTGGTACTGATACATACTACCAACAAGATATCAAACGAGTATCACTGAAACACTAAAAATAACCAAAAGCTACACAGAAGGAATGAAACAAGTATCATGCATGTCATACAGCCCATGAAACAAACTCAGAAGAAAAAAATACATTTCAAAATGTTAGGATTTTGAATTTGCTTTTAAAGCCATCAAGCATGTGAAAATCCAGCCAAGATAAGCAGAGGCACCTCATCAACCATAAGTTAACACAGAGCCAAGTGAGTCCGCAGCCCAGCTGTGAGAAGCAGAACAGCCCCCATTTATAAATTCAGAAGCAAAAACATGTTGCTATGGTTTGTGCCTGGATGTCCCCTCAAAGCCTCATGCAGTCATGGAGGCATGCTTTTGGAGGTGGCTGAGTTTAGTGTTTGTGACTGACTCATTATCTAGCACTGGGATTACGGGTGTGAGTCCCACATCCATCCTAGGGTGGGTAGCCTTCATATGACATAAGGGACAGAGTCTTCTCTGTCCTCTCTTCCCCTTTTGACTCTGGTTGCTTTTGCTGTCTTCGGCCGCCATGAACTGATGCCTCTCTGCCACACCATCAGCTGATTATGAACTGAAACCTCCACAAATTATGAGCTAAATAAACCTTTCCTTCCCTAATTCTGGGTATCAGGTATTTTGTCTCAGCAACCAGAGAAGAGTAACCAAGACATATGTCTTCTTGTATGGACTCCTGAGGTGCTTATGAGGTAGCACTGAGATTAGTGACTGGCTCCTATAGAGCTAATCAATGGCCAGACTACAAAACAGCTGTCAGAGGACAACTGTGGAGCCCAATTTTCAGACCTTAATCTCACCTACACAACTGCTCGGAACAGAATCCAGTGTTATATGATGTTACATGGTGTTATGAGACATATTTTTCCAGGTACAACTCTCTTGACAGTTGGTGGTATTATTTTACTTTATAGATGTAAATAAATGTGAATTTGTGAATGTCAATATGCAAATAAAATTATTGAGATAGAGTAACAGGCTCCTGAAGTTAGGTTCCTGATTAAAACTTAAAACAAAAAAAAGATAAAATAATGAAAGTACTCTCAAATCACTGGACACCAGACAATAAAAGACAATGATCCTGAGGCACAAAAAATAAAACATGATGAGCCATCCTGCTGCCCTAGTTTACTGTCCAGAGAGACTTTCGAGGCTACAGATCACAGATGGAGAACTCACACAAAGGCTGGGGTCTCTAGCTTGTGGAGGTAGAGCTGTGCATCTCAGGCAGAAAACTGGATGAGACAGAGCACACCCAAAAAGCTCTGGAGGTGAGCTGAGATGCCCCAGATCTGAGGCTGACACCTGATTAGTACATCACATAATGAAACTACTCAGTAAGAGAAAGAACCATGTGAAAAGATTCAGAGAACAGTGAGGATTATTCCCACACAGGGCTGTCCCACCAGCCAGAACATAAAATCTCAGAATTTACAGTGTATCAGGTATATTACTCACAGGGTTTTACTTTGGTACAGTGGCAAAAACATCAAAATGTTACCACACTCCAGTTTGTAAAAGTTTAAAGATAGATAATACCTGGAAAAACTAAACAGTTTCAAAATAATTTAAGTATATCCCAAAATAAGGCCAAACAAACAAACAAACAACCCCCCTCAAACCACAATGTAAAACTATTCAGCATATAACAAGGTTAAAATCACCTGTCTGGTATTCCTTTCCCACTCCCCCCCCCCCCAAATCAGGCATGAAAACAAGCAGAAAATTATGACCCATCGTAAAATGAAAAGTCAGCAGGTGTGGTAGCTCATGCCTATAATCCCGGTATGCAGGAGGCTGAGACAGGAGGATCATTACAAGTTTCAAGCCAGTCTACGCTACATAGTGAGTTCAAGGATACCCTGAACTTGATAGTGACACGATGTCTCAAAGGGAGAAGGGGATGTGGCTCAGTGCAAATACCCTGGGTTCTTTCCCTAGTACTTCCAAAATCAAGTTAAAAAAAAATCAATAAATTGAGACTGACCCAGTAATGACACAATGATAAAATTAACAATATTTAAGAGCAACAAACACAGAGAACAGTGTCAATGGACTCCTAAGAGGTGACAACTAACTTTAAGTATGAAGCAAAGTAAAATACTCTAGCGGACTGTACTATACTGAATCAATATAAATGCACGTGCCCATTATACTAAGAAAAAGTATAACTCAGGAGTTGTTTTTCAGGAATACTCACTAGTCACTATTTAAAGCAGCTATAAAACAATTTACTTTGAGAACTGGCAAATTAAAAAGAAAGAATTCTATAGTTAGGTAGCTGACTAGCTCTAGTTGATGAAACTACCATTCTACAGAAGAAAGTCAGTTTAGCACATGTAGAAAGAACAATATTATTGACTCAAGCAAAGATTGGCAACTGATGGTAAGCCAGTAGACAAATGACTAGTGGTACTTAATTAAATCAATTTCTTTCTGGTCATAAGAAGGAAATACACAATATAATGGAGGCAAAAGACTGTTGTCAACTTAACCCAGGAATATTCTGAACAATTAACAGTGGATTGATGAGATAACCTGTCTTCTGTGCCAAGAGACATTGATGTGATGTAACATGAAGCACAACTTGTAGAAAATGCACATGATTAAAGAACTTACTACCACAAGGAAACAGACAAATCTAGAAGACAACACTCTACAGGACCACTGGCTACATCAGAATTTTAAATTTTTTCTAAAAAGGGGGAACTATATGAAGAAAGAGGGAAATCCAGAGGATATAGTAAGATGTAATGCTTGGTGACAGCATGGATTCACAAACAAGCAGTCAAAGCATTCTGAGTCTGTGGGGATAATTCAGATTGGTCTGGATATTAGATGACACAAAAAATTTATTGAACAGGAAAAGTAAAGATTATCAACCTTTATTTAGGTTCTATTTATTATTTTTGTTTATTTGAGACAGGGTCTCACTCTGTAGTGCCAGGTGGCCTTGAACTCTCTTACTGTGTATGTGTAGTTGCGGATGGCCTTGAAGTCCCTTGTGCAGCCCAGACTGGCCTCTAGTTCATGGTGACTTTTTTTGTCTCAGCCTTCCAAAGTGTTGGGATTACACGCATGCACCACTGTGCCTGGCAGGATTATCAACTTTAAAAGGTTATAAATATATACTTTTATAAATGGTCTAATTCTGGTTTTAAATATATGTATAAAATTTTTATTTGTATGTCTGTGTGTATATTCCCATTCCCATTAGAGAAAATAAGATGTACACATAGTTGCAATGGTGGCAAAGTGATGCTTTTCTTTAATTAGCAACTGGTGACTATAAAACAACAGTGTCTACTGTTACAATATTATGTTATTTTGCTTCTCATACAACATCCTTGGGGGGACCCAGAGAGGTAAGAGACAAACTCCTATTTCTGACAACAAAAAGACAGTATAATTAAGGTAAGGTCTTTGAGCTGCTGTGGCTGCCTCTATGTCCTATATGGATTAAAAATGTTTACCTTTCCTAGTCATTTTGACTACGGGGAATACACACACATTGGGTAATTCCAAAACTGGTGAATGAGGTAGATGAAGACACACTATAAAGTTCTTATTTGACAGAAACTGTTGTAAATGGTTAACAAGAGGCGATAAAAAAAAATCCCATGTGTTTAAATTTTAAAAATTATCACAGTAAAAGGTATATTGTCGTTAACTGCCTCCAAATACTCTCCCTAATTTCAACCACACATATTCCATAATTCCTGGCAACCTGTTTTTTAATACTGTAGTAAGGCTTAAAAATTTTTAGCATCACTGTATTTTTTGATCACCCTAGTAGTTTTCATATTATCATCTTAGGGAAGAGGCCCTGTACGCATCAACAGTCCACCTTATTACCACATGAAGCAATCCTGACAGTACCTCAACCACATATTTCTATATTCTGTTTGTTTTGCTATCAGTTGGCTTATCCTGTGATGGCCTATCATGCAACTACAGCCAAGTATAGAGAGCTTTCTGCTTGGAAGGGAAGAAGCAAAGAAAGAGAAAAGAGTTTAGTGACTGGAAAATTCCAGGGTAAGACTTTTCCCAGGAGTATACAGTGAAAATGAATGAGAAGTTAATCACTCACCTTTCACAAAACATTATTTTGAGAGGGGTACTTTTCTTTTGTAAATTCTCTGCAGGAAGAACAAGTCTTTAATCAAACGTTCACATAGTCATATATAAATTGTGCTAGAAAGTGTGAATAGATTCAGAAACAAATAATATGTGATTTCTATAGCCAAGAATGTTTTGGTCAGAATGACAATCATTCCCTCAAAGAGCCTGAAGAGATAATGAAATCCTGTAATATAAAAAGCCTAACTAATTCAGCTCATGATACACAAGAACTTATAAATTCTACTATTTCTATTCTTTACAAATCTTTAATTTAAAAGACATGATATAATTCTACAGATGAACTCCTCCTAATTTAGAAAAACACTAATAAAAAGAGACACATTTTTTTAAAAACAGAAGCAGGACACAAGAACACACTAAATTCACTTACAGCCAATTGCAGCAGTAGTACAGACTGGAAATTATCAAAACAAGTTTGTTTGTTTGTTTATTTTTGGGTAAAGTCTTAATATGTAGTTCAATCTGGGCTTGAATTCACTTTGTAGCCCTGGTTGGCCTCAAACTTGCAGCAATCCTCCTGGCTCAGCCTCCTGAGTGCTGGAATTACAGGTTGTGAACCACCATATCCAGCCCAAAATACGTTTAAATTACTTAAATCCTTTGCTAATTCACATCATGAATTCCAAAT